TTGTGACTGTGTCTGCGTCTCCAACTCTCCTCGTTTGCTCTGGGGACGTTCGTTTATATGGACGCCGACCAAAACCGAGTGGGGGCCTGTCGTGGTTTGGGTTCCTCGATAATTCCAAATCCGCAATAAGGATTTTCTTTGTTTTCGGACAGGAAAATTTATCACTTCCCATTTTTGGAAGTCAATTACTTTCTGTTATAGAGGGGTTCTTAAGGGAATTGTCCTTCTAAATTCTTTCTTTCTCATATTGGTATCTCACACCAATCCTCTCAGAGGGCGTCAACAGGTTTCCCTTCTTTCTCATATGTTTACCTTCGCCCATCGCTCACGCCACCATTCAGCCAATGAACGCTCGGCAGTGTGGGTGTATCTAGACCAGCCTCAGTTTATTATGATCGCTCAAAGAAAAAAAATTATCTTCCTTTTTCTTTTCTTTCTTTTCCATCGACCAGAACCCCCACGAATCGTACTGTGGAGATTAAATCTTTATCTTAACTTGATATCATCTGGGATTCATTAATGGGATTTTCGTCGAGTTATTATCTGGGTGGTCAACTGAATCTCTTTCTCTTTCTCAACATCATCGCATTCTGTCGCCAACAGTCTGTCCAGGTAACAAACTTTTATCATGGGAAGTTCTGGACACGCAACAGGAGGCTCCCCTTCCAAAACCAAATGATATCTCCGAAAGATAGTTAATGGCTTATTCTTTTTCTTTTTCTCTTCTTCCTTCCTTTTTTCTTTGGGGTGGTCTCAGCTAATCCTTTTCTCGGTCGCATGCTTGACCCAATTTTCGATTATCTTCTAGCATTCTGCTTTGTAAGCCTCTTGACCAAATTGAAATTTTCATTATTGCCATGGGCAGATTGCTATCTTTTACCCGCATTCTGCCTTTCCTCGCCACGTCATCGCATAAATTAATTCTGACAGATCCGAGATCTTACGAATTTTCTATCTTCTGTGAAAAAAGTACTTTTCTTCGCAAATGAAAATAAAATCTTTACTCATTTTTCTTTAGTTAAAAAAAATAACATCGCTCAGTATGTCTTTCGTTATAGCTTCTTCTCGCCTTAAGTATTTCTCGTTTTTAATTTTCATGCTTACTTAGTTAGCCAAAAGCTAAATAGTGTCACACACACACACACACACACACACACACACACACACATATATATATATATATATATATATATATATATTACACAGGGAGTCACATTGGATAAATTTGAAATCTAGCTTTTCCATCAATACCGGAATGCAGCCAAGAAAATCTTGTCTTTCGCATTAACAACACCCAGTTCTTGATAATTACTGTGACGATCTCTATTAATGAATGAGAGATCAATAAGATTTCTTTTTGCACTTAGTCGCTGCTATTACCTTGATCCATGTGAAATATATATATATATATATATATATATATATATATATATATATATAAATGATTAAGTATATATACACGGTGAACCGAAAGTATGTGGACAATAGTGAAATATATATATATATATATATATATATATATATATATATATATATATATGAAAATGATTGAGTATATAAACAGGGTGAACTGAAAGTAGGTGGACAATAAATGATAACAATTATTTTGAAATTACATACTAACACAATTAAATTTCGATAAACGATTTTTGCATATAGAATTAAATTTTATGGTATACAATAATCCAATACAAAAACATGGAAAATGTTATCAACACAGGTGCTTAAAACTGTTGTCCATCACAATTTACACAGCTTTGAAGTCTACTTTCAACGCTTCGAAGTATTCATTTCTTGAAATGCATCTCAACTTACTGTCCACTTATTTTTGGTACACCCTGTATATATGCTGCGGTAATTCAAATTCCTATAGATATTTACTATTCACTGCTATTGCCTTGCTTGGATTGAAATGATTGAACATATATATATATATATATATATATATATATATATATATATTTGTTGTCCTTAAAGTGGTTACAAACAGACAATGGTTGTACTCGTGTGAAGGAACAGCAACACTGGGGTAGATGAAAGAAAAGAGGTTTATTGTAAAAGAGACTACACTACTGAAACACAGGGAATCGGGTGGTAGGCTAGTAATTCTCGCTCACTCTATATAGTTAGTGATATAGTCAGTCCATATAGGCGATAGGGAGTGTGGGACATTGCATTACAACACACACACACACACACACACACACACACACATATATATATATATATATATATATATATCTTCAATTGTTTCAAGCATGGCAATAGCAGCCATTAGGATGTAATGAGTTACTGGGAATTATAAAACATGGAGGAAGTGACAAAGGGTGTCGATTTGTCTTTGCATTTCAATTTTTGAAGATCGTTTTTAAGACGAAAGCAGATAGCAGGTAAAGAGTTCCACAAGCTTAATTGATTAGCAGTATGCTTTTCTCGGTACATTTTATGGTCTTTGTGGGCGAGAAAACATGTTATTGCATGCTGTATAGTTGATTAGAGAGCTTCGTAGGCATAGTGATGCTGTTAAATGTCCATGTAAAAATACTGAGGCACCAGCGAAAATTCCATCTTTCAACTCTTTTCTTAAGTTAAAAAGGAAGTTTTTCATTTCAAAACGTTATCTTTGTTATTACAGAAAGTACAAAACGTCAAAATATGGCGTTAGTAATTAGTGTTGATTCCTTTGATTCAAAGAATTGCCCCAATTCAATGTGGCATTGAATAGAATAGTCCAATTTATTTTTCTTTTTGGAATTTTTTTTCCATTCTTTTTGGCAGTAATACCCAAAGTTCTTGGAGACTGCTTGGTTTTCGTTGGAGCACTTGTTTCTTCAGTTCCCACCCTAGTGGTTCAATTATATTGATACCAGTACATTGTGCTGGCTTGTATTCTAAATATTGAACATCTTCATCCACAAGAAAGTTTTATTTGTACGTGATGTGTGGTTAGGTGCACCGTCAGAAAATTTCTCCATCTTACACCGTCGTAAACAAATACAGTTTTCGCTGTTTAGGTTTCCATCAACTTTTACCAATTTTCTTCTACCATCGATTTTGATGCAACCCCACGCTATTACGGGATTGCATTCACTCCTTTCTTGTCTGACTGTTAATTTTGGATTGCCTAGAGAGACTCTCATAATCTTTTTTTCATCTCTCTTGTCTAACTTTTGTGAACATCTGGATTTCTTTGCACATAAAACACTTCCGGTTGTAACAAACGCCTTTTGGGTCATTTGAACACTGTTTCTGAAAACTCCCAGTTGCCCGGTTCTTTCTTATTGAGTCATGCTTGTTTTCAAAGGTATCTTTGTCTCAGCAGAAATGTTAGCCATGATTTTAGCGTAAAGAAGCAAGCTAATGTCTAACTAGGATGACTTACGAAGGCACCTTACACTCATGTTAATAAGGAACAATTCTTACTTAGAAATTCGATAGTTATTTAAGTACTTTTTCCGGATTCAAATTGTTTAAAGCAGCGTAACTTCTACGAAAACGCCACAATTTATTTTCCCAATCAACCAAGGTCCACTGGCAGCACTGATGAAAGCAACCTGATAAACAATCTTAACAAAATAAAGGTGTGTAATCATATAATTTGCCCCAAACTTTTGCACGCCAGTCTGTATCTGGTAGAGTATATAAGGTATACATTTCCTTTACTTTATTGTCTGTGAATTGTCATGACTTATTGGAAATGTAGTGGGTTGCTTGCCTTCATCATACTTCAGAGTAGTCTCTTTAGACTAGCTGTCACCCAAAGCTAGAGAGCCTAGTCTATACTACTATTTAACCCATACCTGTGGAAGAAGAGGCGTTAGTGCGAAGTAAATGCAGTCTTCGGTGGAATTTGAATTGGGATCGCCGCTTCCACTTTCCACTTTCCACGCCGATGACTGTTCCGCTACACACAGGAGTCAGTTGTTAGTGAATGGTAATATATATGTACAGTCAATATTGTAAATATTAACAATGATTTGGCTAAAATTAAAACCATAAATAATAATAATACATTGGGAAGATTAGATTAGGCTAGTTGATTCTACGCTGTGTTAACCCTTGTTGGGTTATGTAATGTCGAATATTGTATGATGCATCCAGTGAGGATCGAACTCACTTAATTAGTAGCAAATGACAACCAAATTAGCCTCGCTGATCATTACACCAAACTAGCATATGAAATGAGATAGATTAAAATTACTGGCATACAAAGTTTAGTCAAAGATCTGATGTCTCTTATCTATCTTTGTCTTCTGAACGCTCTATCTATCTACTATTATTAAATAAGAATTGTAATTAAGCGTGTAGTGTTATGTTAGTAACGTCTGATAAAAATACGAGACGAATTTTTTTTATTGATTTCTGGATTCCGTCAAATAAAAGTCGGTTGTGGAGGGTATGAGGTTTTCGAGGACTTTCTTCGCATGTTTGATCTTCTCACAAGGTTGTGAGGGACTCTGCCTTCCCCTTGCTATGTCGTGCATTTATATAACTTCACTTTTTTTCCGGTTATCTTGAGTGTGTATAACCTAAGTACTGCGGGCCGATCCATCCATTTACGTTGATCCATCCAGCTTTGAGGCCCGATTCTGCATTTCGTAGCTATGAGGTTATCTTCTAGATTAACTCTCTGACGCTCTTTTGGCGTTCTGGTGTGACACCGAGTAAAAAGCTTGCTTAGAGTGAACCCTGTATAAATTAGGGTCACCGCAGATCAACTCCTTTTAGATCTGTGGTATTTTTTGGCGCGAATCACATGGTACTTATGCACTGTCTCATTGTATCAATTCTTTCTGGTTGTATCTGTCTGCTGAGAGTTGATCCATTTCATTCTGTTTGCTTGTATGCATCGTAATGAGATAGAAAATGAATCTATTCACAAATTTATCTGAGATGCAAGTGAATAGTGGCGGTTATTTCTAAATCGAAAGTCGGTTTCTTTTTCACTCCGGATTTATTTGTTCAAGAGTTTAATTCACTTTTTTTTCTTTTTATTCCAGGGACCCAATCAATGCTTCTCTTGCCTGAATGTCAAAGTACGCAAGGTTTGTTCCAAAAAATGCCCGAGAAAGATGTCAGAAAACTCTAAAGGGGTGTGCAAACACAAAAAGCGGGGCGCGAAAAAAGATAGGAAAAGGTATCTTGTGCTTTTGTTTTCTTTTATTTAAATTAATTCCAGTTTTTAAATGCAACAGCTAATGACAAAGTCGCTCGTTGTTTTAATTCAACGCAGCACCATTTATTGTTGCCAAATTTCTTTTAGTTTGTGTCTTCCAACTGTGTTTCCATTGACAAATCTATGTCTGTTTTTGAAGATATTTAATTAAAACTTTCGCTGCTATAGACGTAGTTATACGTTTTTACGAAACTTATATCACCCCCTGTCGATGTGTTCTGTCCTAGTGCTTAATGCTATTTTCGGGCTTGCGTAGACATGCAATACGATTAGTTTTGCGATGTATTTTGTTTAGTAGCATATCAACCACAATGAGTTATTTAATGCCGAATCTTAAATATTAGGTCATCCCATAAGTTCTGTCCGAATTTTAAATTTTTGTTAAAATGAACGAAATTTAAAGAGTATTTTATAATGTCTAATGGAGCTGAACATTATTTTTATGTTTAGATGCATTTAACCTGATCAAATTTTATTTCAGAGAACAATAAAATTAAATTTTGTTTGATTAAAACCCTGCTAATATGGAAGTACCCAAGAATCATTTGAGGCACATAATGCTTTATGAGTTCAAGAAAGGAAACTCAGCAACCGAAGCGGCTAGAAACATTCACTCAGTTTATGGAGAGGAATATGTAAATGAAAGAACTTGCAGAAGATGGTTTGCAAAATTCAGAGGTAGAGATTTCACCCTTGAAGATGAAGATCGAACCGGACGTCCAGTTGAGTTTGATGAAAAGCTTCTTGAAGCAGCCCTTGAAGAAAATCCCACTTTATCAGTTGAGGAATTGGCAGTAGTTCTCAGTTCAAACCATACAACTGTTCATCGTCATCTTCAGCAACTTGGAAAAGTTCCTAAACTTGGAAAATGGGTGCCTCATGAATTGTCTGACAACAACCTCAAATCCCAAGTTGACATTTGCACTTCTCTCCATTCTCACCAACTTGTTTCACCTTTTTTGGATAGACCTGTGACTGGCGACGAAAAATGGATCTTTTATCGAAATGCTAAGCATCGTAGACAGTAGCTTGGTAAAGGGGAAGGACCCCAGTCACAGCCGAGAAGGGAACTTCATGGGCAAAAGGTTTTTCTTTCAATCTGGTGGGATCGCCAAGGAATAATCCACTTTAAATTCTTACCACCTAATGCAACAATTAATGCTCAAATATACTGTCAGCAATTAGAGCGTTTGAACCAAGCTTTGAGGGAAAAAAGGACCTGCTCTAGTGAACCGAAAAGAGGTGATGTTTCATCAGGACAATGCGCGACCCCACACAGCAAGAATCACGTCACAAAAGATCGAAGAACTTGGTTGGGAGAAAATTCCTCATCCACCTTATTCTTCCGATCTTGCTCCTTCAGACTACCATTTGTTTCGTAGCTTACAGAATCATTTGGAAGCTTTTGTAACACAGGAAGAGGTTAAAACTGACATTTGTGAGTTCTTCGAATCAAAGCCAAAAGAATTTTTACAGTAATGGAATTAGTAAGCTTGTAATTAGATGGAAGGAAGTCATAGATAATCAGGGAAAATACATTGTTGATTGAATCTGTAATTAAATGTAACATTTGGTCACTTGTTTTCTTTATTCAAAATTCGGACAGAACTTATGGGATGACCTGATAATTTGAATGCAATTTTATGCCTTCAACTACAGATAAAATGTATTGCTTGTTATTTTGCTTTAAAAATGTATTGATCATTCTTTATATAAAAATGTATTGTTGGTATTTTTCCTATATAAAAAGTATCTTCATACTTTCATAGAATTTTATTTTTGTTTGGGGGTTCACTATTAGCTGGGACTCTAGCAGGTGCTACCGCCCTGGGTCATGGTGGACCTATGAACAGCAGCAATAAAAAAAGATTTCATGCTACTCAAAACTTCCACGTTCCCGATCAGCGGTCTTGCTGCCGGATGTAGTTTATCGTCATACCCAGTGCTTTGCGTGATGGGAGTATTGTTTTACTGTAGAGAGGCGCTATCCAGCCACCGGGCCGCGAACCGGTACCGGGCTGTTGACCATTTGGTACACGGTTGCACAGAAATATAATATTTATTTTCCATTTTATTGACTATTGCTGTCTGGTTTATCGTGTTTTGTTACGTTCGTGACCGCCCCCCCCAAAAAAAAGCATAGCACCGGTCTGTGGTGCGAAAAGGTTGGGTACCGATTCTGTAGAATATCCAATCGAAACCAAAACGGTAGCGCCCATACGAAATCGCCGCCAGTGTCCTTATAGCCATTTATGTTTAGTAAATGTCAAGTTTCTATTTTATCCAAAACGGGACAGCACAGCGATGCCACAATGATATAATCAGTGAAAGTGTTAAGCATTTTTACGACTTGGATGGAAAGTGATCGGATGCGTAGTTAGAAGCAAATAACAGACCGCTGTGTAATATGCTGGGCATTTTTTTTTTCACAGATGAAGAGGGGGCCATCAAACGATTCGCTTCTACCGGCGAATGATAAGGATATCATGGATAGGAAAACAGGAACTACAACGAAAGTAAATTTAAAAATCAGAAAGAGACAGCTAAAAATTCGGTACGCATAAGCAAGAAAGAAGGCTTGGCAAATTTAATACTCATATTAAAGCCAAGCGAACCGGGAGAAAACAGCGCGAAAAGTATTTAGTATGAGTAAATAAATGGCCGAACAAATCACAAAGTGAGGTCGTAAAGGGGTAAGAATTACTTAGAGCAAGAAAAGACAGACATTGTGGAGGGCCATAATCTCTGACATTCCGTAATGATATGACACAGAGAGAAGAACTTTGATAAGTTTTGTCTTTGGCCGAATGTTCGAGGTGTTTTAACAGTAATCTGTCAGTTAAATAGATTCTGCGAACCAAATTTAAATTCGAGTTGTGGAGATCAGGGGTGGGGGGGGTTTCTTTAGTGTAGTAACGCAGAGCATGGCTTACCTAGTCCGAAGCGTGTTTGAGTTGCCGCAGCTGTAACAGAAAAATCTGGTTCGAGGCTTAAAGGCGCGCGTGCGCATGGACGGTGATTTAATGAAATGGACACTGGACATCACACCTAAACAAATGTATCAACACCTGTCGCTTACTATATAAGCGTCTACATTGCTTTCTAGGGGAGGAGAGTAATTCTGTAGACGACGCTCGCGGTGTGTAGTAGAAAGAGAAAATGGTACAGGCAAAATAACAGAAAAGCCTATACTAAACATAACTGAAACTCAGTTTGCAATAATGCCCTTGGAAAAAGGCATGAATCTATTTTACATTGTAATATGGCTCATCACCAAAAGCTATGTAATATCTAATCTCCTATATGACAATATGTTTGACAATTTCTATACAGATGAAGAGACTTGAAACAACCTATATGCGGTTCTACCAACCAATGTAGGGAATACCATAGACAGTGCATGTAAGTAATGAGGAAGTCTTACGGAGAAAAAGAACTGCAAAAGAAACCACTGCTAACGATCAGACATCTGAAAATTTTGAGATACGCCACGAGGAGAGAAGGCTTTGAGAATTTAATACTCAGAGACTATACTGAATGTAAATGAAACAGGAGGACCTAGTGAGAAACGTACTTGAAAAGTCTGAGCAAATGGGATAGGGAAACCTCCATCGAGGGAGTCGAAGAGAGAGACAGAGAGACAGAGGAGGGGAGAGAGAAAAAGACTTTTCAAGGAAAAATTAGTTCCTTATGTAACAAGTGGACAAACTTATAAGGTTTTAATAATTAGCTTTATCTTCGCAGATTTTTAAAATACAGTAAAAGCAATCGTTTAGCTACTGTTTCTGTTTATTTTTCAACTTCATCAATGATTAAAAGTGACTTCGACCCAATAAACCCTGTAGAGTGTGCAGAGAACCATTCTTCTTTGAACCTCATTGACTGGCGCTACATAATTACAAATAAAGAACTGTACCAAATAACTGAAAGAACATCACTGGATGCCGTCCAACGACAGAAACAATTAAAATGAATAAGACGTGTCACTCGAAGAGTTAATAATTACATCATGAAGATGACGTTCCACACTACTTGCAAGTAAAGGTTAGGAAGGAAAACCCCATCAATACTGGAATGAGCGATAACATCCGACGGCTGCTAGGTCAATAAATGCCAAATATTTCCTTATAAAGAAACAGCTAATAGCATCAATTTCCTTATAAGGAAGCAGCTAATAGCATCAATTTCCTTATAAGGAAGCAGCTATTAACACCATTACCATGATCAAAGGAAATCTTTTTCACGAATGAAAAAAAGAAATAAGCACAAATATCATTTTTTATATTACACGAATATAATTTTAATACTAGATTATTCTCCAATTTTCGTCTTTGTATAATTTTAATGAAAAACTGAAAATGTTTAACTACAATTTCTGTATATCTTTGAAAACGAAGAGGCCATTTTGCAGGTCCAGGAAAAATCGATATTCTTTTAAGCTTAATTTACCGGTCTCAGTAAAATAGAGCTCAGGCTATTTTCTCGTAAATATTTTTATGATTATGGAGGTAGGTAATGTTAAAAATAGCAACACACAAATTGAATAAAGGAGTTTAGTTTGTTTTCACTATCAATTGTTAAGACAATTTAAAATCTTTTCCACCATCAATTGTTAAAGTACAAGATAAAATCGTTTATTTATCATTAATTATTAAAAGAAATATAGAAGTCATTGGATCTTTTAAGCACTTCAGACATAACAGTCTCTGCAAATGTAAAACTTGCCCTCGGGCTTCGTTCATTTACCAAAATACTTCAGGTGCACCCACTGAAGACAATAGTTACGGTAAAATAGACAAAAAAGGTTTTTAAGCTTATTTTACCGGTTTCGGGAAAAATAAAAATTAAAAAAATAGATCAGTTGATTTCGCTATCTTGGTTTCAAACTTACGGTTTCCTCAGGAGATTTTTATAAGAGGACAATTAACGATTAAACAATTAACGCTATATTATTTAAAAAAAAAACCCCAAAGAAACAAATGCAGGCGTCGGGTGTGATAGAAAGAGAGGAGGAAGATTTAAGGAAGGAAGGAAGAAAGGAAGAAAAAGAAGAAGAAGGGGAGGAGGAGGAGAAGTGATAAAAATCGCATGAGGATATCATAAGGTTGAATACAAGGCAACAAAATCAACTGATCTCCTAATTTTTAAAGTTAAAACCTCTATATGTTATTTTTCATTTTTTCCACACGTGGATTGAGCACTTTTTGATACTACTGTTCCCTGGTCCAATTCAACCCTGGTCCTCAACATCTATTGTATTATATATATATATATATATATATATATATATATATATATATATATTCAGCTGTATGGAAGTGAATTTGTGACCCTGGATTTCAAGCTTTTGCGATCATCAGCTTGACTGAGGTGCTGGTGAGGGAGTCGGACCAGTAGAGGTATATGTGCGCGTCTACATGTGTGTGTGTGCATGTGTGCGTGCGTGCGCGAGAGAGACAGAAAGAGAGAGAGAGAGAGGGGGGGGAAATGTAAGTTTCTCTGCCGGCGCAGGCGGTAAATCTGAAAAGAGTTGAAAGGAACATCGCCACATATATAAAAAGCTAAGGTCCCGACACCGAAATAGAATTACAACGGCCAATGCCCGAACGCACGGATATGTATGTGCGCCTAGCCTCGGAATGCTTATATGGATGTGTTGGTGTGAACTAAAATGCGTACACCTGTGTGTATGTATGTATCTATGCGTATGTTAGTGCCACCCCAAAGTAGTATATTCCCCTACTGCCACCAAACATAGTCAAACGGACATAAACAGATCCAATTTTAAAAAATAAACCAGTTTGTCTGATGATCGCAAAAACGTAAAAACCAGGGTCACAAACTCATAGGAATACAACTGAATGTTTGCTCTATCACTGATACTGAGTGCTTTCCACTAAGTACTGCGCATCTAAAATAATATATATATATATATATATATATATATATATATATATATATATATATATATATAAGTTATAAAGAACTTGGTAAACCGAATTGTTGGTAAATCCAAGGAGGATGAAATCCTGAGAGCTCAATGTGAAGAACAGAGCTAATATTTAATGAAAAGCAGACCACTTTAAGGTACCATTACAATAACTTATTTCACCAAAATCCTTTTTAAAGGATTTCGGATCATCAGGTAAACACTTCCAACAATGAAATGAGAGGAAAAATGTGATTAGAAATTGAATTTAAAAATTTAAATAGGATTTTGGTGAAATAAATTGTTGTAATGGTACCTTAAAGTGGTCTGCTTTTCATTATATATATATATATATATATATATATATATATATATATATAATGTGTGTGTGTAATTAGGCAGCAAATTCACTTTTAGACATGTCTGATTGAATACATTACAGACATTATTTTTTTTAATAAAATCCGTTCATATTCACGAATAACCTTCTGTGTATTGATGTCCAAAATCATAATATAAAAAATTACTAATCGACAACACAACTATCCTACACTATGAAAACAATAAATTTAGATTATAGTTACTGGAAGCAATTTATATTAAAATATTAAAGCCGGCACTGAACAGAATCAACTATAAATACTGCAGTAATGTTCTAAAATGCCTATAAAGAAACAGTTTGTTTATGTTTTAATGCGCGCTTGACCATGTCATTATAACTTAGAGGAAAAAATTCCATAATGGATAATTTTTTCACGTTCTAATGAACGTTTGACACATTGTCAACAGTTTTGACTTTAAAACTATAATGAAAAATTACAGTAATGGATAACAACGCACATCTTTATATAAATACTTATACTAGTGAACAACATATAGTTTTGTACCACTTGTACTCCTGAAGATGATCTTGGAAGAAGATCGAAAGTACTTGGGAAATGAAAATAAAAGAAATTTAAACAGCTATAGCACATTTCTCTCATCCTTTAACATCAATACACGGAAGGTTATTCCTGAGTATGAACGGATTTTATTAAAAATTAGCAGACAAAATGTCTGCAATTTATTCATTATATATATATATATATATATATATATATATATATATATATAGTTCATTATTTATATATACACTATTTATATTTACCAGCAAAAATAGCCATTTTACCGTAACCGGCAAAATAACCATGGTTTCTATTTTACCGGGGCCAGTAAAATAGCCTATTCACTTTGAAAAATCCCTGAGAACATCTACAAGAAGCTTTTGTACGGAGACATGAAAGACATAATTTATAATATTTATTATTCTAGTTTACCCACAAAAGCCTTCTATAACTCCCCTACAACTCTAATTGTGGCAGACATCTAACCCAAAATTACCAAATCTCTTCGGCAATATAAGACATGGGAAAAAAATTCATGAAAAACTAATTCTCACACCATTTTTCATTTTTTAGTTCTCGTCTTGTCGAGTAATGACCGAGGCGTGTCCGAAAATTCCGATTTTTAACATCTTTTCTCATCATGCTTCGACTTGGTCCAAACTCCTACCAATATACAATAAATATATATTTTTTTAAGCATATCACCCCAAGCAAGGAGGGAGTGCCACTAGCACGCAAGGAGTAAAAGAGAATGAGAGTAAAAATAAAGAGGGTTGTTTGAGGAAAGGATAAAGAGAAGGACGGGGATCAAGATCAAAGCATCAGAAGATGCCGATTGACATTACATTTGAATATTTGAACATTATAGCTATCAGGGAGGCAAGTAAGAGGAAGAGAATTCCACTGTCGGGAAGTGCAAGAAGCTGTTGGAGTAGAAGAGACGATTAAATTTAACCATTTCGACAGGGAAAGGGTTGGACCGAGACGCCAACCTAGTAGCACGCTTAAATTCATGCAGTTGGGGTACCAGTGAAAGTAGCTTGTCAGAGCAGTTGCCATGAAAATATTTGTAGAAAAGACAGAGGTAATCCACAGCATGTCTGGGAGAAAGAACTCTAGACGAGATGCATATCCGTCTTTGGATTTTGTCGAGGATCTCGAGATGAACAGATGGGGGCAGCAGACCATATATGGCAGCAGTATTCAGCGCAAGGATGAATGGTTGATTTGTAGATTTGAAGGATGGACTCAGGCGAGAAAAAACCTTCTGGCGCGACACAGGGAACCAACTTTCCTTGCGGTAGATGAAGCTATTGATTCAATGTAGTTGTTCCAGGTCAGGTCAGTGGAAAACGTGAAGCCAACCAAGCAGGTGCAGAGAGACGCTCTCCTGGAGTTGGGCCTCAGTCATTCTGATAAAAGGCAGGCAAGGTTATATAATATAAAAGGCACAAACACAAATATTCCATGGTTATAATTTATTATGATAAATATATTATAAATCTAAAATTGATTATAATAAATTATAACCATAGAATATTATTATAATTTATTATAATAAATTATAACCTTGGAATATTAGTGTTTGATCGTTTTATATTATATTCTTGCTCTGTCCTGGACAATGAGCTCAACCTGGATTCTATCCTCTTGAAAATTTATATATATATATATTGACCACCAATATTATATATATATATATATATATATATATATATATATATATATATATAGGTTGAATAAGACTGACGAATTTTTCGTCGGTTGAAATAAGCCTATTCCTCATATGAGGTAATTTTAGATTTTATTGTGTACTAATTATTTTTTCTGTAATAGTAAATACATTGAACACTTTTTGTGGATAAGTTTTAATATTTTACGTTACTAGGATCCACTTTGCATTATCAGCAGTAGCAGTCACTATTTACAAATTCGCGCATTCTCTCTAAGGTGCTCGACCTAAATTTATTTTTTTCGGAGGCGTATATATATTGTCAACCACAGAGAGACTGTTTCGCTCTATCATAGCTCATCCGATTGCCTCAAACCAGGATCGAAACCGGACTGATTTGGCATCGGAGATTTTTTCCCTAAGCTATCGGCTCTCGACAGAAAGGGAGGTGGATTTCTTACGTATTTATTTTGAATATATATAGATAAGCAAGTGAAAGAGAAAAGTGAGTTTTTCAAATGCTGATTTTCTTGGTACTCCATCCCCCTTTTAAAGAGAAAGATTTTCCTATTCACTTATCTATGGTCTGGCCCTCTACTAAGCTTCCTAAATTTCAGGAAATTTACTTCCTTACTTCTGTTCGTTTATTTTTTCTTTTCTTCTGTTAAGACCCCTTGGGATGTTCCAGCATGACCTTTTAGCCAACATTAATATTTCATTTCTACAATCTCTGGTTAATATTTACGCATTTGGCGCCCATTCTACAACTTGTATTTTTTTAAAAAAGAATATGAAAAGATTTGCATTTCCAATCTCCAGGGTCCGTTTTTGTCATTTGTTACCTGTTGATTCAATTTCTCCAGGTTAACCGTGCCAACGGGCGTAGAAAAGATCTATGGCCTCCTAAGGACCATTTTCGATCTTCACCGTTACATCATGTTGGTTTTAATGCAGAAGGCACAACAAATGGACCAACGTATTGCCTGCAAGCCAACTGCGTCATGCAGAGGCTGTATATTAAGGCGACTGTATAAGGCAGCTGTGCAGAACAAGTTAACGGACTGGATCATGCTAGGCACATTCAGTTTGACAATGAATAATAGACGTGAAAATTCTTCTTCTTCCTCTTCGTCTTCTTCGTCTTATATGTCAGTTTCTATTTATATTTATGTCTGCCTGTTTCTTTCTTTCTTTCTTTCTTTCTTTCTTTCAAACTGTTTATATCTTTGTACATCTCTCTTTTTGCTTTATCTATCTATCTATCTATCTATCTATCTATCTATCTATCTATCTGTTAGGGTGCGCCACGTAATTGACATATATGATTAGTAGTTAAGATGATACATTCATCATTACAATTGGTTCCCAAAAACGGAAATTATAGATGACTCAACTTTATCTATCTATCTATCTATCTATCTATCTATCTATCTATCTATCTATCTATCTATCTTGTTCTCTCTATGAGCGCCTGTCGGCCTGTTTCTATCTATTTCTGTTTGTCTTTTTCTTTATCTCTTTATCTCTCTTCATCTCTATGTATGTCTGTTCATTTCTCTGTATTTCTTCCTCTTTTATGTGTGTTGGTCTGTTTCTATCTATCTATCTATCTATCTATCTATCTATCTATCTCTATCGGCCTGTTTCTATCTATTTCTATTTGTCTTTTTCTTTATCTCTCTTCATCTCTATGTATGTTTATTTCTCTGTATTTCTTCCTCTTTTATGTGTGTTGGTCTGTTTCTATCAATCTATCAATCTATCTATCTATCTATCTATCTATCTATATCTGTTTCTCTCTATTTTGATCTATCAGGGGTCTTATTATCCGCTGATGCAGTCATATTGATACGGACCTGTGTACTTCTGCTTATTAGTACCTGTCTGTCCGTATGTGTTTTTACCTGTCAGCTTGTCTTTTCGTCGTTATTAGTGTTTGACTCTACCTATTTGTTTACTTGTCATTACCTGCCTATCTGTATTTTTCGTGCCTGTTTGTCGTCTGCAGTGTCTTTGCTCCTCCTGACCGCTTCTATACCATTTTCATTTTGGGAACCGACTGAATTTGAACCGGTTATGCCGAGAAAAATGTACAACTTTTCTTTTTGCTGCTCGCTGACACTATTACGACTCCACGGCTTCTACGCTTTGCTGTAGATATTAATTTAGTAGAAAACTAAGTGTCTTCGGGAGCTACGGAAAATTTGTCTAAAATTTGTTTTAGCAAGTGCTATTTATTCAGTCTCTTTGGTGTGATTAAATATCTAGGGGTTGTCAATGGACCGGAAATCATGCCAACGTTAATAACAGTATAAGGCTATATAATATGTATGACTGATGCTCCTAATACAATACCTTGTATTTATTTCTACGGAAACTATAAAAAATACAAGTAGCCAGACAACATCGTTGGATAGAGCAAGTTTTCAGCTACAAAACACTGCAGTCCCCATCGTAGACACTTTCAAAGTGCTCATTGCTTAGTGGAAACTTATGCACAAGCCGTATTTACGTACAAATATCTTCAGTTGAAAATGACGCCTACTATTTTCATATATTGTGGCCATTTTTAAAAATAATTTTACACCAAGTAATGCGATAAAGACACTAAGACACCAGAAGTTACTGAGTGTGAAAAAATGAAAGAAAAAAAGAAAAAAAAAACATTATTATGAAGAGAGAACAATAAAAGAACAGGAATTAAGAAGATGGTTGACATTGCATTTAAATCTTTGAAGATCACGCATGACTGGAAAGCAAGAAGTCGGAAGAGAGTTCCATAAGCGAAAAGTGAGAGAGAAGAAACCGTTAGCATAGAACTTACAGTTATATCTGACAATTTCAAATGTAAAATGATGAGACAGAGCTGCCAATCTAGTACTGCGTTTACATTCATAAAGCCGAGGTAGCAAATCGGAAAAAATATCAAAAAATATTAATAGAAAAGGCACATGGAAGCTGTTACTTAAGCGCATTACATCCTACCTGTGCTTACATCCACTGGTTGGTCTCTGTAAACGTTCAGCATGCATTCATAAATTTTAATGCATGCATGTGTTTTTATATGGAGGAAATCAATGCCTTACCACGTCTTCGGACGCAGTTTGATGTCAGGTATAATTTTGCCAGACAGCTGTCTTTAACAAGGCGAAACAAAAATCTTGTGTCATGAGATGCTTCCACATCACCAACGTTCGTCTGTGACATCCTAGGTCAATATAATCGAATAGGATGCATAACTTTCTCATTTAATTCATTGCTCAAGATTTTACCACAGAAATACATAAAAAATCAAAGAGAAAGAAATTGTCAGTATATTTAATTCATGTCAATAAAACGTAGACTATTAAATGTACAATATGAATATAATACCAATGATTTTTTACATGAATTCATTTTTATCTTATTGCTTTGTAAATGATCTATATATATATATATATATATATATATATATATATATATATATATATATATATATAAGACAGAGAATGTCCGTGTGTCTGTCTGTGTGATACTTTTCATTCGAGATCCATCCAACCGATTTGACCAAATTTGGCAAATACATTGTACAATGTAAGAGACAGGTTCTTAGCGTAAAAATGGATAATTTTTTTAAAAATCGATAAATTCAACTTTTTCCTCTGATTTCGTTCAGACTCGGTATGTAGGTTTCTTATATCATGACGAGTTCAACGATACCTCATTTTTATTTCTACACCACTGCGTCTAGCGAAAAACCGCGAAAAACGAAAAACCGATTTGAACACAAATCGATTTCAACACAAATTTTAAACTAAAAATTCCCTCAATTTTCAAGCAGTGTAATACTAACTTTTTTCCAATTGTAGCCAACAATAAGTCCATTGTTTAACTTGATAACTGTGTCCATCCATATAGTGAAAACACAGGTAAATAGCGAAAAATGATGATTTTTACTGGTTTCTTTCTTATTTTTCGTTGATATTTCAACCAGTTTTCATCAAACTTAACAATTGCTTTATAAATGTGTCCTCTTTTGCATCCCTGGTAGCATAATGACAAATTGAATGTCAAAACCTCCAAAATAATTGTGGTTTGAAGTGGGTTTTCATGTTGCCTGTTTTACCCCTTCGTGTCTTAGGCTAAGTTCGATTGAATAAATACACATTACTTCTGTTATATCAGTAACTGCATTAATTCAAAATGCTTTCCAATGAAAGTACTTTAAAATAATTGAAGAAAATAGACACTGTTACATTTAAACATTATGCTGTTTTTGCTCCATTCTAATTGAATGCTTTTTTTTTGATCGACCAGCTGGGTATGACTGCTAGTTTTTACTATATAAATGTATTGTAAATGATGAAGACATGGATTTTCATAGTTCAGCAACTAACACAAGTGTTAATGACAGGATAAAACTATTGTATGCATATATGTGCATTATATCAATAATGTAAAAAAAAATCTCATGTTTAATCATTAAGCTATATTCTTAGCTTAAAATGACGCTTTCTTTTTTCACATATTGTAGCCATTTTGTTTACAGTTTGTATTTTCTTGATTTCGCTGTATATTTGGAAAGTTTTCAATATATTTCAGTCAAATTTTCGCTTTCCAAAATTATAGTTTACAATTATAATGTTAAATATGCGAAAAAAATAAGAAAAAGTAGGCATCAGTTTAAACAGAAAGTTAATTTTTGCACCTTTGACGCGCATGAATATCACTTTTCAATCGTTCAGCGTACATTTTTGTTCTTTTTCTTTATGCTTGCAGGCGTCTCAATCCGCGAAACAAAAAGAATCGGCCGAACAAGAAGGTACGCCGAACCAGCCGACCGCCTGGCAAAACAAATTAATCTATCAAACTATCTGTATATCTCTTGAACTATCTGTATCTTTCTTTCTCTCGTGCGAAATAACTGTGATGGACCTTGAGTTTTAGGAGAAGATGTGTTCTTAGATGCTGAACCATGGTAGAAAAACTCAAAGCAGACGATAACCTGACGGACCTTCAAAAATTGTTTTTTTTCTTGTCTCAGAATAATGGATTTTAATAAATGTTGTGGGTCTTTATAAAAGTTTATGTTTTAAAGAAACTCGGTCAGTAAAAAAAAAAATCACATATATTTCTCTGGCAGTCATTGTTATATTTCTTGCTATGAATGGAAGTTGTAAAATTGCATTTATCTTTACGTCGATTAACGATTTTATGAGATATTTTAAAATGTTCATAAGATGATTGAATATCGATTAAATTATTTTGGATAAATTAACGAATGAAAGTCAGTTATATTCCTCATTGTTTTAATCGAATTAAGACAGTAATAACAGAACAAAATTTATGAATAAATTAAACATAAAACATGTATTTAATAAACGTCATGTTTTATCCGTTGTATTATCTATTAGATAAAAAGCAGGAAAGGCTGTTACTGCATGACACAAATGGTAGAGGCAAGAGTGATGAACTTGTCATTTAATGTTGTTATATTATAAGAGAAAGGTATTACGATGGTACTGTACTACTACTACTACTACTACTACTACTAATAATAATAATAATAATGCACCGCTGTTACACCAGTCATGGCTCTCAATATTAGAATGTTAAAATATGCATGTTTTACTTTGCTGAATTAAGATGGGCGAGAGTAAATATCGCGTCCAGAACTACAGATTAGCTTGTCTCTTGCCTAACCTTAAGGTTAAGCGGAAGTAGTAAGTGATACATCCGAAATCGGCGGGAAAAGTCCAGCGATAATAAATAGGCAGGCAAAGACTGTGAAACCAATTTTCATGGGCTGAATTCCAAAATAAACCCAAGCTCATGTCGAATGTTTCGAAAATCGCGGATTCAACCGAAAAATGACCGAGAACTTGACCAATAGGTGACCACTCCTGGTTAGGTCGCCTGAGAAAAGGGGTCTGATAAAAGCCCTAACGATACCAAGAATAAACATCACTAATGAAGCTTCAAGGGTGTTTGAGATATGCATATCTTCAGATCTAGATTAAGCGATTCATTTGAATGTTAAAGTCCCAACGGATTTTATGGGAGATCTTTATAGGAGAGATTCTGATTTTTACATTTATTATTGGGCTGTCAGGTCAAAATGCTGTGCATTGTACGGTTCTCCAATGGATCACCTTCCTTACCCAATTACGCCTATTATTATTTTCTTTCTCGACTAATTTGCTACATTTGTTTATTATATGATTGAATGTCTGATCTTTATTTCCGCTTAGTCTGCATTTGCTGTTTTCCCTTTTTATCAATCTTGGTGTTAATGTAGTTGATTTTTATATCATTGTTTGTGGCCTTTCTTAA